AAAGAATTGCAACGATTTCTTGGATTTGCAAACTTCTATAGAAAATTCATTAGAAACTACTCAGAAGTATCACATCCACTTAACCACCTTAACAGTACTAAACGTCCTTTCAAATGGAATAAAGATGCACAAGCTGCCTTCGATAGTTTAAAAAAAAGATTTACAACTGCACCTATTCTACAGCTACCTAATCCAACATTCTTGTATGTCCTAGAAGTCGATGCATCAGATTCAGCTATCGGAGCAGTTCTTTCTCAGCAAAAGACTCCTCAAGATCCACTTCATCCAGTCGCATTCTTTTCAAGATCCTTGAGCTCTGCTGAAAAAAAATATCCTATTGGTGAAAAGGAATTATTAAGTGTTAAAGCTGCCTTTGAAAATTGGCGCCATCTATTAGAAGATACAAAACAACCTATCATAGTCTATACAGACCATAAAAATCTTGAATATCTTTATACTAATAAAACCCTTACGGCTAGACAAGTTAGATGGAACCTATTTTTTAACTGGTTTAACTTCCAATTAATATACAGACCTGGAACTAGAAATAAAAAGGCTGACGCTCTTTCTCGAATTCCTTCTAAAACTTCTATTGATGTTTATCCTCCTAACAAAATAATAGGGATCCTCTCTTTTCTTCAGGATGACTTAAGGAACTTGAATCAAAAGGATCTTGAACTTCCCAAAACACCTAATTTAACAAAAAAGGATGGTATATTTTACTTTAAAAATAGGATTTATATTCCTCCCATTCTTAGGAACAAATTACTCAAAATGGTTCATGATTCACCCCTAGCTGGACATCCTGGAATAAAGAAAACTCTTGAACTAACTTCACGATATTATTAGTGGCCTCGCCAAGATAGAACCATTGAATTATATGTCAAAACTTGTCCTATCTGTCAAAGGTCCAAATCTGAACATAATCAACCTTTTGGATTACTACTTAACTTACCTATTCCAGAAAAACCTTGGCAATCCATTTCTATGGATTTTCTTGTTGACCTTCCTCCATCCCGACAGTTCACCACTATTCTTTTTGTTGTGGACCGCTTCACTAAAATGTCCCATTTCATCTCTTTAAAAAAATTACCCTCCTCCGTAGAATTGTCTTTATTGATAATATTGTAAAGCTTCATGGTCTTCCAGAAGAAATTATTTCTGATAGGGGGACACAATTTACCTCCAAATTCTGGAAAGAGATGTGTCTCTCTCTTCAAATTCAACGCAAACTCTCTTCTGCCTATCATCCCCAGACTAATGGGCAAACAGAGAGAGTTAATCAATGTTTGGAACAATATCTCCGATGTTATTGTTCATACCTGCAAGATGACTGGACCACTTGGTTACCTATGGCTGAATTTTCTTACAATAATACCATTCATTCTAGTACGAAAATGACTCCTTTTTTCTCCAACTATGGATTTCATCCGTCCTCATTTCCCATCCCATCTAATTCTTCATCCAATCCCACGGTTACTTCAAAAAATGAATTTATGTCTTCTCTATTCCTTAAATTACGGGAGAATCTTCAACTCGCCCAAAACTACCAGAAAAAGTTTTTTGACCATAAAAGAAGAATTCCCCCTCCTTATAAAGTGGGGGATCTTGTCTGGCTCTCTTCAAAAAATATTACCACAAACCGTCCTTCAAAGAAATTGAGCTCACTTTTTCTTGGTCCTTTTCAAATAACTACAATCATCAATGATAACGTTGTTAAATTAAAACTTCCTCCAAGTTTTAAACTTCATCCAGTATTCCATGTCTCTTTGCTTAAACCACACATCCCTGATCCTTTCCATAGAGAAATAGTAACAACTCCTGAACCTATCATCATCCAAGGTGAAGAAGAATATGAAATTCATAAGATTTTGGATTCTCGTATCCACCGTGGCTCTTTACAATACCTTATCAGATGGAAAGGTTATGGAGTTGATGAAGATACCTGGGAAGATTCATCTAATGTTCATGCAAAGAGATTAGTTGATACTTTTCACAAACGCTACCCCTCTAAACCGAAATAAGTGCACCCAGAGGATGCCCCATGAGTAGGGGGTACTGTCAGGTATACCTAACATTCATGCTGCCGCCGGAACCCACTTCCGGGTTCACGGCGCTTAGCTCCGCCCTTTTTTCTGACGCGGTCTTTCCACGATACTTAGGAAGACCGCGCCAGATTCAAAGGGCTGGATTATACACTCAGGTGCGGCAGTAAGATCAGCTGCCCCACTCGATGCTACCGGCTCCTCTCTCAGACTTTGGGTTGTAAACGGATTTCTACCTTCTCATCCCTCAGACCTCGGCTTGTAAACGGATTTCTACCTTCTCATCTCTCAGACCTCGGCTTGTAAACGGATTTCTACCTTCTCATCCCCCAGACCTCGGCTTGTAAACGGATTTCTACCTTCTCATCCCTCAGACCTCGGGTTGTAAACGGATTTCTACCTTCTCATCTCTCAGACCTCGGCTTGTAAACGGATTTCTACCTTCTCATCCCCCAGACCTCGGCTTGTAAACGGATTTCTACCTTCTCCTCTCTCAGACCTCGGCTTGGACAAACGGACTTCCTTTCTCTCACTACTAAACTGCAGTTTGTTAAAAGAGACTCCTTCCTTTTCCTCCATTGGGTGAATTAACCCTTCCAGTGCCAGAGTGCTTCTAAGTTAAGTAAATCTCTTGTCAAGGAAAGCAAGTCATATCAATTATTATAGTATTTAATTTCTCTAAACTCTCTGTTGACAAATAAGCATTGCATTTTTTCCTTGCATGTGTATTTAAAGATACAGTCTACCTTGTTCACTTCAATAAAATAAAGGAGGTGAAACTTATTGTTTCTGCAGTTGAGTTCCAATTAAAGAGACATTACACAAAAGCATCACACTGTCCTTCTGGCTGTAGGAACGATCCCGCCGCTTGCCACCAATTGTAACGGACCGTTTTGCACACAAGGGATAAAAACCGTTTAGGCGATCGGCCCCCTTCCCAGAGATACAGGCACAGCTACTGCAGAACACCAAACTCCCGAACTGGATACAAAATAGTACTCCAACTCCCGAACTGGAACCTCCCAAATAGCTGCTAGCAGATGAACAGGAAAAGCAGACAATCAGCTTACACTCCTGGCTATCAGTCTCTAACAGCATACAGTGAATCCCCCCAAGAACGAGACAAGGCTCCGTGTTGAGGGTCAAGCCGTGGTCTGTTTAATGAGGGCTACCTGCCCGGCTTTTATGCAGGTCTCCCACCTGGTGGACACTCCCCTAGGGGACCAAATGGGAGACTGTGACAAGAGACAGACAAGTAGACAAATAGGACACACAGTCACAGTATATTCCCACAATGCATCCTGGCTTCCTCCTCTCTGCCCTGGGAGATAATTGAGAAGTAACTCAATTATCTCCCAAGACAAAGGCAAAACTCCATTACACATGTGGGGACACAAAACCAGTATTATACTTTAAAATACATAAAGTAACATTTATTACATAAAACACAGACATGTAACATATCCCCAGATAGCTCAGGTCTGAGTGCACATTATTAAGTGAATGGCGCTCAGACCACACGAATACAGTTTAATCGCCATGGAGCCAAAGTCTTTACAGTCAGTTTCATACGAATGGGCTCCATGGGATTCCTATCTGGGGTATAACACATTCAACCAAAACTACCGAACACCGGGCCGTTCGTGCACTTCCACCGAACAAGAAGGGAGGTCGGCGGCTTCAGCGGTGTTCGCGCAAAACTGTGTCCGATTTTAGTTCCATGAAAATAGGGGCGAACACCGCTGTGCATTTGTATGTTTAAAATGGCCGCGACCTCGTGTTCGGGATACGAATGGCGGCCACCCAGCATTCGTCAATTAAGCTGCGGTTAACCGCAGCTTCAGGGAGGTTAATTGCCGGCACACTCCAGCTCCCAGGTGGTCTATTCATTCGTGCGGTTGTTCGGTAGATTGAATCTACCGAACAACCGGAAGAAAAGCACGAATACAGCTTTTCTCCAGGCGAAATAAAGTCTTTTAAAAGGGGGCCATAGTCCAGAGGCAGCAGGCGAGCAACCAGGCTTCTCCAATGCAATGTGGAGAGATTGGTCTCGTCACAATGGGGACCTCCATGGTGACCACGTTCGCCCCCAGTTATGCCAATATCTACATGAGGAGGTGGGGGGAGCTATTTGTGTGGTCGGGGCATGACTGGAGGGCGATCTTGGTCCTATGACGGTGTTATATTGATGATGTTATTATTATTTGGAAGGGGCCTTTTACCTTGTTCCAGGAATATGTTAATTTTTTGAATACAAATGAATACCATTTGGTTTTCACCCCTGTATGGAACAAGGATCAGATCAATTTTCTTGATCTCACCCTGTCCCATGATTTGGAATATGTTAGGAGCAAATGTTTCTTCAAACCCACAGATGGGAATGGGTTTGTTCACCGTAAAAGTGGTCACCATCACCCCTGGCTTAAGGGAATTGCTAGAAGTCAATTTACCCGTCTGAGACGGAACTGTTCAGATACACAGGACTTCTACTCCCAATCATCACATGTTAAAAATAAATTGTAGATAGAGGATATAATAGTAAGGAGTTGGAGAGAGAAATCTGGAAAATTGGTGAAATAGAAAGGAAAACACTTTTGGAGAATAAACTATGCCTCCCAGATACTAGGAACAATTTTCGCTTAGCATTTATCACTCATTTCAATATCGATCATAATAGAATTAAGAGAAGTCTTCAAGGTTCTTGGCCTATTTTGTTACAAGATCGCATTTTGGGAGTACATCTACCAGACAATCCTACAGCTATTTATAAAAAAAAAAAAAAAAAAAATTTCAAGAATATGTTGGCACCTAGTTATGCCATTAAACCACCATTAGTTCATACCTCCACCCGTTCAGCAAAAACAAATAAATAGGGGATGGCTCTGCGCCAATGTACAAAATAAATAACAATAACAAGTCCAATTGAATATTTTATGTGGTCTCCGAAGTTGTAGGGTTCTACTTATTACGATATCCAAAAGATGTGGAGGAAGGTGGTGAGTGATGAGAAAGATGATCCAAAATAGTTAAAATAGGAGAGGTCTTACTTACAGTTGACAGAGCTTAATCCAGCTCTGGTGTGAATGGCTTGCAGCGGTATTATCCCCGCTTACAGTATATACGGCGAGTATCCTCTTCTATGTAGTGACAGACGGCCAAGTGGGAGATAAAAATGGAAACAATAATGGTGCAGTATGTTCCACACGTGAAATAAAAGATGTTAAAATATAATAGATACACTCACATTCGGTAGAGCTTCTGCTAGCTCTAGTTTTGTAGGCGTACAGCGGTATAATCCCCGCTTGTAGGATATACGATGAGTGTTCTTGATGGTAGTATCAGGAGCTCGGAGAGAAAATAAAACAGCGATAGTGCTCTCAATAAAATATTGTTGATGTATAAAATAATAAAATATACTCACAGTGTATAGGGCAGGCTAACTGCTCTATGATAAAAGCGTAGGTGGTATAATCCCCACCTGGGATTCTTTGGAGTATAATACCAGGAAGTAAAATAAATAAAAGGAAAAAGTGTATAAAAATGTATATAATATAAAATATATATAAAAGGCCAGGTAATAGTCAAAAGATAATGGTATAAACGTAAAAAGTGACCAAAATCTATTTATTAACAGCATATAAAAACAGTATAATATCCAAACGCGTTTCACCAATATGAGGCTTTATCAATGGATAAATGTTTTTTTTTAAATATTGATATTGATTTGATCTGTTTTCTGGACTAATATGATCCAAGCAAGACTTGGAATTGATACATATATTTTTGTTTAGATAACATTAGGTATGTGTGCGTGTCCCTATAAAGGTTTTTTTTTCTACAGTTGAGGGCTAATCCCTATGGGGAAAGAAGTTTCATATATTTATATTATAAAATAAGCAGCTATTTTCTTTTTTGATATAGTTATAAGTTGCTCTAAGGGTTTATATGTGGTGTATAAATAGTTACAGATTTATTTAATAGTAATAATTTTTGGTTAAATATATTTTCTAGTTAAATAGTTTTATTTTATTTTTTTGAAGAGATATTTCTTTAAGAATAAGAGACCCTTTCACCTTTAAATGGTGGAATTTCTAAGCTAAAGGTCTCTTTAGTTTGAACACTAAAAATTGGAACTTTTTTTGTGTATTTGTATAGCATTATTCTACTTTATGTAGTTCCTCTGTTTGATAGTTTTTTTGGTTAAACATTGATTTAATATACCTATAGATTTTAATGATTAAATCAGTGATTAATATAATTTGATTAAAGTGCTGTTAATATTCAGTGCATATAATAAATGAGAGTGTTTCAAATCATATATGACTAACACCTTTTTCTTTAGCAGAACTTTCGGGGCTGTAATTAGTTCTCTTTGTATTACATGAACTGTGGCCGAGACGATTACGTCTGGTTGCTATGGAGATAATACCGCTGGAACGCATATTGGAACGCGGATGTATCCGTGATGCAACTTCCGGTTTCAGCGATGATGACGATTTCCGGTTCTTGCCGAAAAGGGCGCTAAATTCAAATTGGAAGAGTGAGAAACAGCTGATGGAGGTGGTTTGCTCCTCCAATCGAAAAAGAAAAGGATCCACACACCCACTGAATCCACCAATGGACTTGAGGGACTAGCCCTATTTAAGGACACAGGGAGGGGGGTTATTTTAGGATATGTTTATTTTGTACTCTGTATTCATACATGGTAATTATTTTATTGCGGTCCCGGAGGAAGTTCATAACGAACGAAACACGTAGGACTACTTTTCCTGCATTCATATCCTATGCTGAATTGGTGACTGCTTATATATAATTTTATTGAATACATTTTCTTAAATTTTCACCCTGACCTGTGGATGTCTCTTGGTGGAATAAGAATCCGGAGGTGAACAGAAGGATCGTTTTGCCCCCCATTACATCAGGGGAAGCACCCTAAGAGCGCTTATACCTATCTATATCTAGTGAGTGCAATAGATTGTTGCGCTCAGGACACTGAATTTTGTAACAATATCACACTATGTTTTGTTTTATGTTTCTCTGTAGATTCACACAGCCATATACCGAATTGTTTTTGTTGTGGTTTCCAAACTGGCCAACAGTAAGAAAAGGTTGGTGGTGCATGGTGAGGTGGGCTGGAAAAATAATTCCCTACATTTCTCTAATAGAACCAATGGTTCTAAGCTCTCCCTGGTGCAGAAATATGATTATCAGTGAAAAACATGTAACATTTCATATGGTGTCTCATCAGGTATGTTGTGAATGCTCATCTGTACCATAGGAATAAATAGATACAACTGTGTGGGGCAAGCAACTAGTAACTTGGTTAATAATCATTTAACCTCAGCATTCTCCCAGACCACAACCCCACTTCTTTGGGGGTGGTTGGGGCACTGAAATCCTAAAGTAACCCAAATGTGGTTGCCCAGTTTTAGGTTTCCTTTGCAGTAACTGCAGGACCACCATCCAAATGGATGGTCCTGGGATTATCAAATGCATACTAAGGAAGTGAGACTAGAAAACGTGGTATCAGAGGTTGCACTTCGCACAGGATATATCCAAGTAAACCTGGTACATGCATCAACACATACAAAAACATATTTATAACCATGAGATGTTGGCAAACTTCCAATATATAGTAATTCAAAAAGTACGTTAGATATTAATATTTCAGTAAACAGTACATCAGTAATGGGGCAATAAGCAAATGCTTATGATTACTAAACACATGAATTACAGTATTTCCCATATTGGACCACCAATATTCCTTTTCAGGAGTCAGAAGTACATTACCTCTTTCTATAAGAGCTTGTCCTAGCCATGATAAAGCTTTTAGGGCAAGTCTATCTTTCCTCTATAGGAAGAACAACCAACATATTACCTTCAATGGTTATTATGTAATTAACCCCTCTAAACGATAGGAGTATTTATGCGGATACCAGGTGGATTATTTCTGGATATCCTTGCAAGCATAAACTCTGCATCATGACTGAGAGATAGGGTATGCGATGTGATCCAGTGACCACAGAAAAGCGTTGGTAGACACATTGCATCAAAGTGCCTGTTAATGACCAACTACATGAGGAGAGGGCCCATGCTTTGTTATAAGCATGTCCATACACGTATTACAATGCCAGGGTTTCAATTTGTTATCACAAGCAAAATGCAGTTGTGGATATAAACTCACGATGTATCGTAAGAAAAACTGTTTGAACTCTAGACTGAGATTCGAGATCAGTGAACAGTGGACCAAAATAGATAAATAAAATCCTATAAATTAATATACTTTCAATATATTTTCTTTAAATTACTTTATTCTCTGTATTAACTATGAAATATTAAAGTTAAAACAATAACATTTAAAAGCCAACTTTTAGAGTGGATAGGAATTACAAGGCCGTTCATAATGTGAGATAAAGAACAGCTTTTTTTAAACCGAATAGTTTGTGAACACAAGATGACCTTGCGCTGAAAATTCACTTGCAAGGGAAAAACAAAACCTCTTCTTTTCTTTTTTTTCTTTAGTAAATTAATTAATTAAACGTAGTTAGAAACTTCCTCAAAGTCCTGATGACTTTGCAAGAAACATGTCGTCCTTAAATACTGGGTAAGTCTATTAAACAGTGACATAGAATTGTTACCGTGTGTATTATGTTGTTACAGCTATAATGTGCAGTATTACAAACTATTTTATAAGTGTTGTACAAACTGTTCATTAAAAGCCAGTGGTCTAGCGAGCTATAGAACATTTATTTATTTATTCTTTAAAGCTCTGACATCAATCGGCAAAGCAATATTGTAATGGTGTCCATTGCAATCTGCTGTCTTACTTGCTGCTCTCAAAAATTCTGAATAATAAATCCCCAAAAAACAACAGCTTTGCATTTATGGTAAACCTGCCTGATGTAAATGGATTCTGTATATTTACTGTCATAATTACTTGTACTTAAATCTATTTAACAAAGCTGTTTATATTGTGACTGTTTATATTGTGGTAAAAAAATATATATATATTTTTATTATTTATTTATTTATTTTAACATTGCTTAATCTTTAAAGATACCTGCATAATTAATTAAATATCCTTTATATGTCTTTAAGGCATAAAATATCTGCAAATTAAGATTATATACAAAAATGCATGTTCTGGGTGTTCCGTGATTCCTTTTCTATCATTTAATTTTTTTTAAGTCTGGAATCAGATGCCTTTTGAGATGAGCACCCCTCAGCCCCCAGTTTCAGAGACTTCTTTGGAGGGGACCACAGAAAAGTATAGATTCTATAAAATAGATGTGAGGGGGCTTTGGACAGTAAAGTTACCTTAATTATACTTTTCATATAGCAGGTATGTGATATGCAATGTAATTTAATATATCAGAGTATTATCACTTTAATTGACACTGCATTTTTTGTTCTACGCTGTGCCCTAATCTGTATTTATATACATAATTGCAGCAGCATATAGCTTAAAGAAGCAATTATTTCACCATTCATGTGTGGTTGACTGTGGACTTAAAACCTACTTTATATTTTACATAGAAACATAGAATGTGACGGCAGATAAGAACCATTCGGCCCATCTAGTCTGCCCAATTTTCTAAAAACTTTCATTAGTCCCTAGCCTTATCTTATGGTTAGGATAGCCTTATGCCTATCCCATGCATGCTTAAACTCCTTTACTGTGTTAACCTCTACCACTTCAGCTGGAAGGCTATTCCATGTATCCACTACCCTCTCAGTAAAGTAATACTTCCTGATATTATTTTTAAACCTTTGTCCCTCTAATTTAAGACTATGTCCTCTTGTTGTGGTAGTTTTTCTTCTTTTAAATATAGTCTCCTTCTTTACTGTGTTGATTCTCTTTATATATTTAAATGTTTCTATCATATCCCTCCTGTCTCGTCTTTCCTCCAAGCTATACGTGTTAAGATCCTTTAACCTTTCCTGGTAAGTTTTATCCCGCAATCCATGAACCAGTTTAGTAGCCCTTCTCTGAACCCTCTCTAAGGTATCAATATCCTTCTGAAGATACGGTCTCCAATACTGTGTACAATACTCCAAGTGAGGTCTCACCAGTATTCTGTATAATGGCATGAGCACTTCCCTCTTTCTACTGCTAATACCTCTCCCTATACAACCAAGCATTCTGCTAGCATTTCCTGCTGCTCTATTACATTGTTTGCCTACCTTTAAGTCATCAGAAATAATCACCCCTAAATCCCTTTCCTCATATGTTGAGGTTAGGACTCTATCAAATATTTTGTACTCTGCCCTTGGGTTTTTACGTCCAAGATGCATTATCTTGCACTTATCCACATTAAATGTCAGTTGCTACAATTTTGACCATTTTTCTAGTTTACCTAAATCATTTGCAATTTGGCTTATCCCTCCTGGAACATCAACCCTGTTACATATCTTAGTATCATCAGCAAAAAGACATACCTTACCATCAAGACCTTCTGCAATATCACTAATAAAAATATTAAAGAGAATGGGTCCAAGTACAGATCCCTGAGGTACCCCACTGGTGACAAGTCCAAGTTTCGAATATATTCCATTAACTACAACCCTCTGTTGCCTGTCACTCAGCCACTGCCTTACCCATTCAACAATATTTGAATCCAAACTTAAAGATTGCAGTTTATTGATAAGCCTTCTATGTGCAACAGTGTCAAAAGCCTTACTGAAATCTAGGTAAGCAATGTCTACTGCACCACCCTGATCTATAATTTTAGTTACCCAATCAAAAAATCAATAAGATTAGTTTGGCATGATCTCCCTGAAGTAAACCCATGTTGTCTCTGATCTTGAAATCCATGTGTTTTTAGATGTCCATCAATCCTATCCTTTAACATGGTTTCCATCACTTTCCCCACTACTGAAGTAAGGCTTACTGGCCTATAGCTGCCCGACTCCTCCCTATTACCTTTCTTGTAAATGGGCACAACATTCGCTAACTTCCAATCTTCTGGGACTACTCCTGTTAACAATGATTGGTTAAATAAATCTGTTAATGGTTTTGTTAGTACACCACTAAGCTCTTTTAATAGCTTTGGGTGTATTCCATCAGGTCCTATTGACTTATTTGTCTTTACTTTTGACAGTTGAAATAGAACCTCTTCCTCTGTAAACTCACGTGTAATAAATGACTCATTTATCCTTTTTCTTAACTGAGGCCCCTTTCCTTCATTTTCATCTGTAAATACAGAACAAAAATATTCATTGAGGCAGTCAGCTAGACCTTTATCCTCTTCTACATACCTTCCTTCTTTGTTTTTAATCTTACTAATCCTTGTTTTACTTTTCTTTTCTCATTTATGTATCCAAAAAAAGTTTTGTCCCCCTATTTTACTGTCTGTGCTATTTTCTTCTGTGTGTGGGATTTGGAAGCTCTGTGTATAACTTGTTGAAATTTCTTTCTGCCTAATCTTGTGGATCATTTTGCCCCTCACTCTGGGTTTTTTATAATTCCTAAATGCTAAATTCTTTTGTTTTAACGGTTTTGTTATCTGGGTGGAGTACCACAGTGGTTTCTTGAATTTTTGCTTTACTGACGCTCTAATGCAATTTTCTGTTGCCTTCAATAGTGCAACTTTTAAATAATCCCATTTTTCTTGGACTCCATTTAAATTGCTCCAGTCTGATAATGACTCCTCTACCCATATTCTAATTTTTATTTTTTATGAATCGGTTTCTGGCTCTGAGAGAGCAGGCTGTTGGATGCATGTAAATGCTATTATTGCCTGGTCTATATACATTTATAAACAACATTGATATATTTATATATAAACAACTTTGATATTTAATCTTATTTTATATTATTTTGTGAAAACCTAGTTTATGAAATTCACTGAGATTACATGTGTCTGATCTGATTACAGTCAGTAGTACAATATCATTGTTCTAATTTCCTTACTGCTAGCAATACAGGTACAGTGGGATAGTACCACTGATATAAGTAAGCTTTCCCTTTTAAAATTGGTGGACTTTAATCCTGTCATTGCAATAGACTAAAGACTGTACCTGAGTAAGCAAAGTCATTATGTGCAGGAATTGTGCACTTTAAATAGAATACTTATGCTATTCTAGTGAATTGGGCTGGCTGCTTAACACATCATTTAGTATCTTTTGGTCACATTTAAAGCTGTAAATGTATTTAACATTTTATTTAAATAAGCCTTTAATAATTTCAGTTTAAAAGTTATCAGAGATCCTGTATAATCACAATTCCATCTTGCCCTGATTTATCCTTCATATATATTATTTTTTATTATTTTATCAATATTTATTTTTGCGGAGCATTTAGAGAAGCAAAGGATGTATAACAACCTGCTGCCCTTCTGTTATGTTGCTGTAAGAATATTAAATAGTTAACTTGTTTATATGTATTTTATGCTTTTATAAGGTTTATAACATGATTATTGCTGACTGAAGGAATATTGAATACTTAAACTCAATATACGACAATCATATGCTGACTGTGACAGACTAAGGTATTTCTTCTATAGGATGTAAGACAATGCTAAATTTCAGGATGTCTTGCCCATTCCGATTTTAAGGATATTCTTTTCCAGACGTATGCAAAAGCTTATCTTTCCATTGTCAGAATAACGTAATACAAGGAAGTAATAAATCTTATAGTCTGTACTGTAATGAATGACATATACCATGGCTAATGTAAGCAAACTATGTATAAAAGCCAGCTCTGGAATACACTCATTTGAGAGTCTTGTAAAGCTGTTGTCCGTGTGTTATTGCTTACAAATGATTCTCCATCAACGTTGATTATGGTGACCGAGGGATCGAGAACCGAGGGGATTAGAGTCCATTACAACATTAACCCTTTCAGCTTGGTGTCAGAAGTGGGATAGATGAAGTGGATCAGCAAAACCATTTGCGGTGAGTAGCCTTTTTGTGTCTTATTTGACGCTGATTGTCTATGATTTCAGACTGTATCCAGTAGATAGGAAAGGTGTAAGGACTCTAGTTATATTGAGACTATAAGAGGTCTCCGGTTTATTAGACATTTGGTCTAAATATATATAGGGGTTCTTGGTAACCCAGGTTAGTATCTAAGATAGATACAGGTTTTTGAGACCATAAGAGGTCTCCGGTTTATTATAGGGTTTTGGTAACCCAGGTTAGTATCTAAGATAGATACAGGGTATCTCAGGTAGATACAGGTTTTTGAGACCATAAGAGGTCTCCGGTTTATTAAGTCTATAGGTGTTCTGAGCAGCACGGTTTGTATAACCCAAACTTCTCTTTCTCCCGGTCACCTTTGTTTGTCTTAAGTGTTTTTTGTGGGTGATTGTTTGTCTATATTGGGGACACACTTTGGTAAGTTAGTAGTGTCCCCACTCTGAGTCAGCAGTATGGGAAATGTGAGTTCATGTCCTGAGTGACCAATATATGTACATGTATATGTGTATGTATGTATATATGTGTATATGTATGTATATATGTGTGTGTATATGTATATGTGTATATATAAGATAGCAGTACTTTTAAACAAATGGAGGTTTTAAAAATACATAGGGCTTAAGGAGAGAACGCAGGTAACTTGTTTTTCTTTGGTTTTTACCATATATTGGGGCTGATGTGTACTGTAGTCCTTGCTGCTGCCCAGTAGTGATGGGAGTGAGCGCAGGACTTATCTTTCTGCAAGATAGCAGTACTGTATATTAGAAAAGAAATGACTCACAGGTTGTACCTGATAGACCTACTTAAATCTTTTTGCTTTATTCTTTCTGTCGCATAGAAGTATAAGTTTATTACTCTGTTTTATTGTAAGTTATTTCACATGGGAACTGTGTGCCTGGTATGATTGTTGCTTTAAAAATACTATAAGCCCACTACACTTATTATGAGAGTGGGATAGTGTAAATGTGTTGCATTGTTTGCATGATGAGCTCAGTATATTTTATAACTGAGACAAAAAGTCACTTCATTAGTATTTGAAAGTTAATTCCCCATATGGGATTAATTGTATAGAAACACCAATCAGCACATCTTCCCTGCCCTGTGTGTTTGTTGCAAAGGATCCATACTGTAAATATGATTTTTGTTTGAAAATAACAGAGCAACATTTACATTTTCAGCGGTCCAACACATGCTTTATTTTGCACTGTAAACTAACCTTTTTATTGCAACAGGTTCCTTTTAAATGATCCAGTGTAATAACTACTGCTTGTGTCTTCTATGTCTCACATTATGTGTTCTTTTAAATTGTGGTATATAGCCTGAATCAGACATCATGGACAAAAGGTTTTTACCTGTATTACAAAGGGCTCTTGGAGACTGACCGGTCTAAAGGTTTGCCATGCCTTTAAAACATGGTATAGTATAAATTTTTTAAGTCTCTGAGAGTTCTGAAAGATTCAGGTGAAACCATGTCTGTTTAATCTGGTCCAGATGTTCGTTCAATTTCTATAGGATTTAAGTTGATGCAGCATCATCTCAGATTAGTTAATGGAAGTTTTAGACAAATAGTTGAGTTATGAGCGCGCTATATAAATGGATCCTTTCTTTAAATACAATACTATAGTAGATTAAAGTAATGAAGTTAATTAAGAAAATGTACACATAAGAATCCCTAAAATAAATCTAAACTAAAATTGGTATACTTTCCAATAATATGTTCTGAATACAGCTGTTAACTGTTTATTCTGTGTAAATGGTGATTGTGATAATGTGTGATAAGTGTGCAGTTTAACTTGAAAGTGGTTTAATTTATATGTTGCTGTATTGTTTTAAATTATATGTGAATCAGTTTGTCACAGTCTAGTGATACTGATAAGAATGACAGCCAAATAACCTAGCAAATAACTGTTTTATTAGTTGTTGAATACTAGCGTTTTGGCCAAGAATAGTTGGAGATTTGGAGGTGTTAGTTTAAGATTGCTTTTATATTGTGTCTATCCGTGTTTCCTAGGAGGGAGACAGAGTGTGTAGTTGTGTGCCCATAAATGTGATTTCTGTATTGGCATATCTGCTGGGTACCCATTATGTGTTTCTACAAAGATATTGTTTTGTGAGATGACTAATATTACATGGGATGCTGAGTATAAGTTATATGGTTTGAAATGAATTGGTGATTATGAGTTTAGTACTTCAGTAAGATGTGCTAAAATTTGGAACAAGGTGGAAGCTAAAATGTTGGGATTATGGAAGAATAAGCAGTCTATATTCACTGCTTTGGCATATAAGCAAGATGCAAAGGAAGAGATTGGTAATATGATTTTTGTAAAGAAATTTTACAAGTGTTGGAAGGATGAGGCAGGTTTGATGTCTGGAGATGATATAGATATCTTTAAAATACAATCATGCCTTGGTAATATGTTGCCACAGTATTCTTTGCTTGTGAAACAATTGATTTCAGACTGGGACAATTTGGATAGCTCAGATTTTCTTACCAAGGTTATAGAAAAGGAAAATGCAGGTTGTTTTGAATTAAGAAAAGATTTAGGAAAGTAAGGTTGCTTATTATGCTCAGGGATTGCAACATATTATGTCCAGCTACACAGGCTGAGAGCGAGGATGGGATGGAGCACATAAAGCCCGTGGAAGGGGTGGTCAAAGAGGGGCAAGGTGATGGAGACAGGGAAATCAGGGTTATAGGGGCAGGGGTAACCAAGGAGGAATAGACAGGAACACTTGGTTCAACTGTGGACAATATGGCCACTGGAGGAATGAGTGTCCACACCCCAGGAAACCCCATCAAACCCCACACACCCCACCAACCCCACAATTCTCAAAATATGCCCTGTAGGCAAGAACAACACCAGATCCACTCCCAACACCACTGGCCAGCATATCGCTTAGTTCAGGACTTTAGAGCCCTGAATAGTTTAATTGTGCCCATTTCACCCATTGTCCCTGATGTGACATCCCTCATTACAGCCATTCCACATGATGCCACTTGCTTCACTGTCATTGATTTAAGTAATACATTTTTTCTATACCTATTGATCAAGAGACACAGCTACTTATGGTTTTTACTTTTTGAAGGCTGTCAGTTTACCTGGACACGCTTACCCAAGGCTATGTGGATTCCCCAGCTGTTTATTCGTTGGTACTCCAACATACTCTAAAAAACATGGACCACCGGTCATGGTTCCGTCCTTTTTGCAAAATGTTGATGATTTGTTGTTATGTAGCCCTAGCTATGAGGCAAGCACTGTGGATACTGTCAGCAACTATAGGTCACAAGGTTGTTAAACACAAAATGCAATTGTGTAAATCAAAGGTTGAATACTTAGGTTTTGTTCTGGCTTTAGGCACCAGACAATTGAGTCCAAAACGTATTGAGGTCATTCAGAGGATTCCAACACCCACTACTCGGAAGGAGTTGCTCACCTTCCTCGGCATGATTAATTACTGCCACCATGGATCCCTGAATGCTCCCATTATGACTCAATCCTAAGGGAGGCTGTACGTTCTGACAGCCCTGAAAATGTCTGCTGGTCACCAGACATGCTAGCTGCATATATTGCCCTTACAGTTGTTATTGTGCAAGCCCAGGCTTTAGGACTACCTGTGTATTGTAAACCATTTCATTTGTATGCTCGGGACAACTGTAAAACCATGGCCGCGGTCTGTGCACAAGAGCAAGGAGGCGGTATGCGTCCCATAGCATTCTTTTCCAAAGTAGTTCGAGCTCCGGTACAGGGTATGCCGGCGTGTCTCAGAGCATTGATAGCATGTGCAATGGCTGTTGAAACTGCTACTACTATCACACTAGGGCATCCTACAATACTTCATGCCAGTCACCAGGTCACTCAGCTGATAAATATCACCATACAACACATGACAGCCCAGCGCTTCAGTGGTTATGAGATTTTTTTTTTTAAATACCCAGAATCTGTCTTTTGGAATAAACAAGGTTTAGAGAAAGATCAAAATGATCTGTTCTCTAAAGAGGGGAGAATAGGCATACTTGAAGAATAGGCATACTTGAAGCAAGCTGATTTATTTTCATCAGTCAGGCACATAGCAAGCACCATTCAATTCTTCATGAATTCATTTTATATTAGGAATCTCAGGCAGCATGTACAGTCTTTTGTAAGATCGTGTGAACGCTGCTCTTTTTACACACTTACAGATTGATTTTATTCATGTATCCAAAATTGGTAAGAAACAGCAATACTTACTGGTCATAGTTGATCAGTTTAGTAGATGGCATGAGGCCTTTGTGATATCTAGGGAAGATTCTAGTGAAGATTATTGTTACTGAAATTATTCCCCGGTATTGCTGCCCTCTGCAGATTGGCTCTGATAATGGCCCGGTTTTTGCAAGTGGGGTTGCCCAGGAACTTGCTAAATTCTTGCAAGTTACCTGGCAGTTTCATATACCCTATCATCCACAGAATACAGGGGTAGTTGAAAGGATGAATAGGACTATTAAGGAAAAGCCCAGAATTTACCCAGGAACATGGGTAAATTGGACAAGATATCTACCAGCTATTTTAGCTGAGATAAGAATGAATCCCCACAAGGTGAATTGTTGATAAAACTGAATGGTATGTATGACAATGTTTCTTCGCAGTTTTCCCTTACCTTCACAGGAACCTACTCATTCATACCAGCCCGGTGACAAGGTGTATATCCGTCAGCTGAACAGGACCAAGAAAGGAGGATACCCTTTTGGACCACCTGCTACTGTGATTGCTGTAACCAGAACCGCTGTCCTCACAGATTCCCACGACATCTGGATTCACGCATCCCGAGTGAAGCTGTGTCCAAAGAGGGGAACCAAGGAAGACAACACCACTCCTCGCTCGGAAACAGAAGAATTTCTCCTCAGCGAAGCATCATGGCTTTTACACCATATCGTAGATTGAGAGGATCATACGTACCTGAGACCAAGATTATGTTGTGCGCTATGCTTTCTGGAGTTGTTATACTCCCTCTGATATTGTTCCTTGAATGCCATTATGAGTACAAGTCAATGGCAAGTTCTGGAAAAAGACTTTGACATGATGAACAATTCTTCAATACCCCCAGCCCAATTAGGCCTTAGCCCCTCATCTAGCATTCGTCACACACGCCCTCTCAAGAACCCTTCTCCACCACCTTTCTATCAGCATGTAATATGCAATCATTCATTCACTGAACGCATTTGGATGAATTGGACAAATAGTAACCCTTATAAGTACCAGTTACCCATATGAAATGTGTCTACAGCTAATGAAACCGATGCATTATGTTTGTTTAAAGGTTCACAGAAAATTGTTAGATCTTATAACGCAGAAATGTGCACAGTTAAGGTTGCATATCAATGTAAACAGACAGGCCTTATTACTTTTAATAATGATTATATAACTGGTATCATTAATTGGAGAAGGGGACAAATGTTAGTCATTATGAACAACACTACAATTGAGAACTATATACTACCTTATATTTTTACACCTTATTACTGTCCTTCATCCACTATCATAGAACCAAAAGTCAACAACGACACACACACACCTATTCCGTCCACATGTATTAATACAACTGCCTTCTTACAAGCTGTACATGTGTCATTAAAAATCACTACTCTTGTTGTAACATTATGTAACACAGCAAACAAAAGGCAGAAAAGGGAATGGTATGACACACTGTTAGGAGGTGCTGGAACCACTATGGGTATACTAAATAGTTATAGATATGGAGACCCTCAAGAATAAGTTAAACACAGCCAGCATGCATATAGGGACTGGTTTTCATGCTACTGCAAATTGGGCTCCAATTGTTGTTAAATCACAGGTTATAGGATTGGATTTAGATAAATCAATGTATAATTATTTAGATAATTTAACTGTTGCAACTATGAAATTCACTACAGGTCTAAGTAATTGGAGTACTTGTGCCATCAGGTATTTATGGATGCAACAACAAGGATTGGCATTAGAAAACACACTAATGATTCCCAAACTAGAGAAGATTAGAGGAAAGCGTAACCTCACAGATAATGAATGGTTACTTCTAAAACCCCAATCCAGTAAATGCAATGGATGGTTAACTGGTAATGTTTCACATATTTCATGCTCTTGCTATTTTACATTATATCATACATCAAAGGATGTTAAATTAGCTTGTCAATTTAACACATTACCAGTACCAGTTTATGATCTTTTTGCCAAGAATTTAACCTGGTGGGCACCCACATACACAGGGGACTATATTTTCCCCAAAGATAACACACACAGGTAGCCACACATATCCTAAAAGGAGAACTCCTTAAGGTGAGTTCACAAATTCAGAATGATTTAGCCCATAATTGGTACGATGCTTCACTGGTTGGTCCCCTACTGGATCCCAGATAATGAAATAATTCTTCTATCCTTTTGTTATTATAGTCCTGATTTTATTGTGTATGATTTTATATAACTGTCACCTTACTTGTACATTGAGGAAGAGAGTACAGAAATGAATCCATAATGCAGAACAGAAACAATTAGAAATTCTCCTCTCTGCCACTGGAGGGTATCAACCCATCTTTAAACTGGGCCTTAGGAATTACCACATGGGAATCGAGGTGAAGAAATTAATGAAAGTCCCGCAGGGAGTGACTAGCACCCCTGAAAATACCATGTGGAAGTTTCTCTGTCCTGGTAAGATTTTATCGATAAGATGAGCAATTGTTTTATTGCTCAAAGAGGGGAATGTAAGAATATTAAATAGTTAACTTGTTTATATGTATTTTATGCTTTTATAAGGTTTATAACATGATTATTGCTGACTGAAGGAATATTGAATACTTAAACTCAATATACGACAATCATATGCTGACTGTGACAGACTAAGGTATTTCTTCTATAGGATGTAAGACAATGCTAAATTTCAGGATGTCTTGCCCATTCCGATTTTAAGGATATTCTTTTCCAGACGTATGCAAAAGCTTATCTTTCCATTGTCAGAATAACGTAATATAAGGAAGTAATAAATCTTATAGTCTGTACTGTATTTGCATATACCATGGCTAATGTAAGCAAACTATGTATAAAAGCCAGCTCTGGAATACACTCATTTGAGAGTCTTGTAAAGCTGTTGTCCGTGTGTTATTGCTTACAAATGATTCTCCATCAACATTGATTATGGTGACCGAGGGATCGAGAACCGAGGGGATTAGAGTCCATTACAACATTAACCCTTTCAGTTGCTTTTTAAAATTAACAGATTTTCTAAGAGGGTAGTATAATTTCAAAAATTTGAGCTAGTTATCATATATTATATAAAATATATGCTGCTTTGTACTGCAATGATTTTTTAGTTTTTTTAAAAGCCCTGTCTTTCTCTTTATGGCTGGATGTAATAAAGTTGTTCATAATTCGGAATATAAAACAATGACTTCTCAATTCCTTTGAATAGAAGCAATATTTACATGTCTCTGTATCTCCGCAACCTTGGCTGGAAACTCCAGACTCCAAAAATAGTTATGCTGTTATAATTCCTGATTTTTAATCAACAGCTAGTGTAACTGACAATATGGAAATTATCACTGTTTTATAAAATAATGCAATTTTCTTTGCATTTTTGGAATTAGACTTCAAATTCTATTAGTAATATAATAGCAAGTCTTTTTCATCGCTCTGTCTTATCACTTTTCTTTTGACAACATTTTGCATTAATCTTTTTCCTGCGCATGCATACTAAGCGAGAACATATCCCCCTGCCTGCAATCCACTGTCCTGGAACTAATGGACCATGGTATGCTGGTGTATAAGGCATATTAGGGAGTTTACCAAATATGTATATTTGTTCTCTTATGATATTAAGATCCACAATTTCAGCATTGTATGCTAATTACAATGTACCTGGCACCTGAACTCAAAGTGCCTTGTACAAGTTCACATTAAAATCATCTCTTCATGATTAAGATCTCTCTCTGAGTCTGGGCTACAAATAGCTAATTAGATTCTTTATATTTCAAGACTTGTGCCACGACAAAGTGTC